GTACCTGTAATCAATCTTTGCTTTCTAAACTTAGGTACTTTGCAAGGAGCAAAGTACTACAGATAGCAATGTCTTCTCTATTTTGTATGAAGGCAAATAACAATAAATAAAGAATAATAATTAATACTAAATTAGCAAATGAAATAAATTACCTATTTTTAATATGTAAGGAGTTGTGTTATTAAGAAAAGTGTGTAAGACACAAATTTTGCATGCTCTCAACCTCTAAATTTGAAAGAAAAGTGGGAACAAACTATACTTTTTTTTTTTCCACCCCTAAGGATAAATGTAAGTGGAAGAGGCACTGTTGAGTAGAATGTCTGAACTTTTCCCTTATTTACACAATATACATATTACATAATATATTAGGCGCTCCTCTGTCTCAGGTGAATAAAACTGATTGTCATTTTGTAATAGGAAGCATAAGGTTAAAGTATAATTATAGTAGCTATAATTAGTTACTCATGATTATGTCAAGGCACTGATGATAACAAATGAACCCAAGTATACCAAATATCTTGCCTAAGCTTAAGGAGAAAATGTTGGAAACTTACATCATGTTAACAAAAGTGAATCAATCAGAAAATCTGAAAAAGTAGATAAATGTAATCTCGCTCTCGCTAAAAGATATATATATATATATATATATATATATATATATATATATATATATATATCAGTGCATGTTTGAATATTTGTATCTTTGCTTATATATCAATGTGATTATACAGAATAAATGTCCTGACACTTCTGTTTTCTGATGAACCTGATTCAACAGCAGTGGGATGTGGACACTATTTCACTTCAGTTCACAGCAGACAGAGTGTAGGCAGTACCCAGACATCCATATTTTGTAACGTATTTTTATTAATTTTAGAGAGGAACAAGAGGGAAAGGATGTGTGCCCTTAACCACATCATTAACCAGAACCAAGCCTAGGGCTCTTCAGTCCACAGGCTTTATCCACTGAGCCAAATCGGCTAGGGCCAGACATCCCTATTCTTACATCCCTGGGCCCAGGGTTCTTGGAAGTAAGAATGATGAGTTCTCAGCGGTAGAAATGGAGGCGTGTGCTGCCCCCCTGGGTCCTCAGGTGGATATTCTTAGGACTGTTTTCTCCTTACAGAAACTCTTCCCTGTAGTACCAGGGGCTACCGGAAATAAAGGAGAAAGATTCTGAGTAAGTCAGAAAGATTCATGACTACATTATGACATGGAATCTGCAAAGGAGCAGAATATGCATATATACCTATTTCAGCAACAATCAATAGCAATAGACTTGTAATTTGCAAATCACTTTACATTCCATCTGTCATATTTGTAAATGACGTTAATGCTGAATAATTTATAATGGCTTACATAGGAGATGAAATAACTTTCCAAAAAAGATAACTTCATCTTTGAGTTGTGTTTTGTTCTTTTTTAAATCATGATAGTATATAAACAAAACTGGAACCTGACACTATGGATTTTTTGTCTCAATTTTTAAGTGGGCTTGCAAAGCCATAGGTCTCCACAGAGATTCTCCTAGAGCTTCCTAAAAGTGTAAAGGAGCAGAAACCGGTTTGGCTTTGTGGATAGAGCATCAGCCTGCGGACTGAAGGGTCCCGGGTTCGATTCTGGTTAAGGGCAAGTACCTTGGTTGCGGGCACGTCCCCAGTGATTCTCTCATCGATATTTCTGACTCTCTATCCCTCTCCCTTCCTCTCTGTAAAATGATCAATAAAATATATATTTTTTTAAAAAAGTGTAAAGGAGAATGTCAGGAAAACTGAGTTAGAAATCAGGGTTTCTGGTCCCCACCACTGCTGTAATCATAGTAATTCTGTCTATTGGTTTTCCATGTAAGAATGTGAGTGAAGAACTGGTTCAGATAAATTAAAAATAAAAAAGCCCTAGGCTGTTTTTCTCAGTTGTTAGAGTGCCCTCCGTGGACTGAAGGGTCATAGATTAGATTCTGGTCAAGAGTAGGTACCTTGGTCGCAGGCTCAATTCCCAGTGCCATATGGGATACATGCAGGGGGTTGGGGAGGGGAGAAACAAAAGTTGTGTCTTTCTCACATTGATTTTCTCACTGTGTCTCTTCCCCCCCCCCCCCCCCACTCTCTTTCTAAAAAAAAAAAAAAGCAATCAATGGAAAAAAATATCCTCAGGTGACAATTAAAAGTTAAAACAAAAAGAACCTTATCTGGTCTTAATATCTTTGTTTTACACACAAGGAAATTGAGGTAGTCAGAGTAAAAGACTTTCTCATGGTGACCTAGCAAGAGTGGCAAATCAGGTTTTGGTTTCATCACAATTACATCAGATTGGATCCTGCATTTGAGTGCAACTTTACGTTATAACTTGCAAATAAGAGTTGAGAGATGATCTATGCAATGGGCTTTCAGTAAGTATTACTTCATAAGCTACCTTGAATATGGTTATTTGTTTATAGTATACTAGAGGCCTGGTGCATGAAATTCATGCATGGATATGGTCCCTAGGCCTGGCCAGTGATCAGGGCCGATAGAGCCTTCCTTCTGATTACTGCCTGGGGCCTTCCTTGGTTCTGCACCACCCTCTTGTGGTCAGCACACATCATAGCAAATGATCAAAATCCCAGCCTCCTGGTTGAACTCCAGAGGGGACACTTTGCATATTAGGCTTTTATACAAATAGATAAAACAGCAGGGTGATTTCTATACTTACCAATTACTATGATTGTTTACAAGATCATGATTCAAGAAAAGTTTAAGGTGCTGTTTAGTTATACTTTGCAAGGTATTTCTGCTTGATATTACCCAGTCCTATATAAACTTTAACTAACTTGATCTATGGCATTATGGCAAGCATAGCCAACACCATAGGAGGTAGCATGTTGCATGATTTTTGAGGGTATAGAAAGCTATCTTCACACTTTACCTTCAAGCAATTAATAAAAAGCCAACTCCACTTACTCAGTGACACAAAACTCCACAGGAAAAATGTCACGTGTAAGCTTAAGTGTTTTTTCCTTTTATAGTTGAAAAAAACATGTGACACTCACGACTCAAGCCTCTTAGCCACCAGGACCTAAGTATGAATGAGTCTGTTACATCCTCACTTCTTGTGGAAGTATCCTAAGTATAAGGCATATGTAGAGATAAATCACAATGGATAAGAAGTAAAATAAATAAAATTGCCCTGGAAAATTTTTGTAACATTTATCTTTCTCCATCTGGGGGAAAAAAATATTTTTTAATTGTCTTACCGTTATTTTCTTAGCTATGCAAAAAAAAAAATAAATGGTTCCACAGTAAGAATAAATATTAATAAAATCATAACACTTGTACAACTGTTGCAATAAAACCGTGGAGGAAAATCTGAGACCCTAACAAAATGTAATTTTTATTATTACATTTAAAGTGTTGACAAAAATATGTTGTGTGTGAATCTTTTTTTGTAGTCTATGTTCTGTTGGCATTTATGTTTTCCTTGGCCATAGGCATTTTGAAGTAGGGAATGTCTGTTTATAAACTACAAAGCATTCTGACTGTTCATTAATGTTTGGTCAACCCCACTTTAAAAATGCTATTACAGCCCCTCTGGCATGGCATGGCTTGGTTGAGCATTGATCTATGAAACAGGGGGTCATGGTTCTATCCCAGTCAGAGCATATGCCTGGATTGCAGACTCCATCCCCAATAGAGGGTGTGTAGGAGGCAGCCGATCAATGTTTCTATCTCTTCATTGATATTTCTATCTCTCTTTCTTCCTCTTCCTTCCTCTCTGAAATCAATAAAAAATATTTTTAAATGCTGTTGCAATCATAATAGCTCAAATTAATGTGGTTTTAAATATTAGTAAAAAGTAATATGTTTTTATTAACTTTGTTACAAGAGGAATCACTCATTCCACCAATCATTTTCTTCCAATCTTTATGAAATAAACACATAGTAGAAAGATACCAAAAATTGACTTGGTGAAATACATACTGGCACAAACAAGTTCATTTTAACAGTTGGCATGAATCAGTTGCCCATGACAAAATAAATATTACAAATGAATATGTACAAAAAATTATTTGAGACTAGTAACAAAGCAATGCTTAACTTTAAAACTAGACATCCTTTACATTATATAATTTCTTCAAATTCTTTGCACCTTTAGTCTATCCAAAAGTCAATTATTAACAATAAAATTGAAAGTAAAGGACATTACTTTAAAATATTTTAATCTTTTCAACAATTCTAGAAACAATTTAGGCATAAATTCAACACTCATGAAGATGGGATTTTCTGTTTATAGTAATGATAATTTGGGTGATATTAGTATTCTAGTATTCATTTTCTAATATTGTATTCCCCCAATTTACCTATGCTTCTTTTTTGCTTTCACAGATAGCTGACAATGACTACAAGAATTGATTGTTTCTGAAACGCATCAAATCACTTTCCATAAAACCCATACCTTGCTGTTCATTAGTGAATAAGGTATAGTAAAGAGAACATGTTACCATACTTGCTTAGCTCTTAGATGGAGCAGACATCTGCCCACTCACAGTCAGTCTGAAGGAAAACTCCAGCAGAGTGTGGCAGGCAGGCTGTGTTTGAGTGGATAAGCCAGCTAGAGGGTGAGGATGCAACTAGAGGGAAGGTAGATAAGGGGTGAGAGTTCAGTAAGCACGTTCTCCTTAGATAAGATTTCCTTGTTAATTATCCATACGAAAAAGAAAACTAGTGGGAGACTTCTTTTAAATGCTGTATATGACAACATTTTTAATTTCTACCCGTGTTAGATAGTAAAAAGCAAGAAAGGGGAGGGCCTGATCTAGAAAATCAGCTTCTTAAAAAAGAAAGAAAGATAACGGGGAAAATAATCTGTTTCATAATGTGTTGTCTTTGTACTTTGATCTGTTTGTATTGATATTTAAGCTTCTGTTTTATGATTTCTTCCTAATGGTAGAACCAGAGCTCTTGGAGCCCGGGAGTTTAAAAGGAGCAGGTGCTGAGCCTCTGCTTTTTCCCTGAACAAGAAACATGGGCTGTGATCGGAACTGTGGGCTCATCACGGGCGCTGTCATCGGGGCAGTGCTGGCTCTGTTTGGTGGTATCCTAATGCCAGTCGGGGACTTGCTTATTGAGAAGACGATTAAAAAGGTACAAGTAGTCAGAAGGATATTTTTTTTTTTTTGTCAGTCTGACTCATTGTATCTTCTGTCCCTTATTTGTTTTGGGTGCCTGTTTTATATTATATGGTAACTGGTAACTTTGTGTCCTCAGTACAAAAGTGATTATGGGCTACCACAGCTGTATGCAACAGAGAAATGTTAAAAGTATATTTACCATAAATTGCTACCTTAGGTGTAAATATTCAAATTCTGATAAAAAGCTATTCATTGGTGCACAGGTAAGTTAAAACAATTGTTTATGTCTAAAGAGTATGCTTTTGAATAAGAATGAGGTAAGTGTATAAAAGTAGATGTATCTTAGTTAAAACTGAGAAAAGTAAACTTGTATGTATAATACATGATGTAGAACATATATAATATTAATATATAGATACACATTATACATAGTCATTTAATCATAATTAAGTTTAATAATGAATCAAGAAATTTTTGGTAAAACTGATAACTTTTATTTGGTAAACTGCTGGGTTTCTTTTTATAATATGTATAATAACATAAGTGATATGTATAATAACACAAAAAATCCTATGAGAAATGTTACATAGGACATATGCCAGTGTATATGCAACAGCAGAGTAGTTGTGACCTAGTTAGAGTAATTCAATAGATAGTTTGCATAATAAACTAGAATTAATTTCCCACCTTAATTCCTTAGCTTCACACTCACCATCTTCAATTGATAGAGAGAGCAAAACTAGGATAAGGCCATACAGACCTGCTGGAGTTCTAAACCCAGGTTGGCAAATCCAAATGGTTTCAGAAGTTTGGAGTCAGAGTAAAAAAGAAAAAAGTGAAGCTGTGAAGCACAAGAGAAAATGAAGAATAGGAACTATTGTGAATGTGAATGTGTGCCCTATCTGAATACATGTATGTTTCCTTTTTTCAAAACATAACTCTGGCCAGTTCTCAGCCTGATTAGATGTCAGTGGCATAGACGAGGGTTAATCAGTACAGTGCGCAATTGAGAACAATAAAAATTAAATAATAAAATAGGCTATACCTACAAACTCATTCTGAAATGTCTGCTACTGCCAAGGCCTGAAATGTCTGCTACTGCCAAGGTCTTCCTCATCCATTTATCTATATTTGACATCTTCCTCTTACTAGGAATATAAATAAGTACCATTTCAGTTCTCAGAAGCATTGACTTAATTGACTAATATGAAGAATTCATTTTAAATCCATTTTCTGATGATGACAATACTATTTTCTATTCCTTTCTTTAGCTAAAAATTATAAAGCTAAAATAAATAATCTCACTGTATCATTATAGCTGCTGTCTTATGGAAAAATAGGAAATTTTTTAGGTTACAGTTCCTTTACTTGTATGCTATATTTGCTCCACACTGATATTGTGGTTTATGGCTTCTTTATTGCTCACGGATCATAAATCTTAAGCCCTGAGAATTTCATTAAAAATATTGCAAATTGAATGTCATCCACTTCTTTGGAATTCCCAACTTTATTGATATTACTTTTGATGTAGTTTGATAGGGACAGATAGGTCTCAGGGAGATGAAGCTTATGTGACTGTGTGAGATGGGATCGCCATTGCTTAATATCCTTACTGCTCTGTCATCTGCACCCCTCCTGGCTTTCTGTGGAGAGAGAACAGATGCAGTGTGTATGCTAACACCGAGACTACAATTCATCTTTTTGGAAAAGTCTCCAGAATAAAAATATCACAATAATCTCCCACTGCAGAGCATTTTAGACCAGGACTATTTTTTCTAATACATAATTGACAACCAGTTGCTAATTATTGATCATCATTTATTTAATTCATTCAGTAATAGTAGTAGTACTTATAGAATCTTTGTTAGATGGCATACAACTAGTAGCGTCTATTTTAATTATTTAATACTCATCTCATGTTCATAATAGCTAACCCTGAGAAAATAACAATTTCAAGACCTCAAAATTTGCTTTTGTATAGGGACTAAGAAAGAATAAAATAAAATCTATCTCAACAACTGTATGACTTAATTTGGGGAAAGCATATTGTACACTAAATAGAGAGAGACCTATGAGACTAGTAAATGAATTTTAAAGTGTAGAATATGGAAAAGTAAATGCTATATAGAAAGAGAGCTCTCAGTGCACTCAAAAATGTCAGGAAGAAAGTGAGATTTGAGTTGGAATTTCCAATTTTTGAAGTACTATATAATTTTGAAAGTTCAAAGAAGGCTGCAATAAATGCATGAAAGAACTGATAAATGCTATGGAAAAAGTTGTGGTTGTGCAATTAAACGGTTTAAAGAAGAAATAAGGAAAATAGAGGATGTGCCAAAAAAATATGGGATTAACAAGAGATGATTAGAAAGACAGAAACATGGGGTGAGATTTAGAAAGTTTTGAACATGAGCAGAAGAATAATTAATGATGTTCTAGGCAATAGTCATTGGTGTATATTTTGTAATAGGTATGCAGTTAGAAGTTTATATCAAATGGCTAGCATTTAGTTAGTGCTACTAAGAGCTTCACATATACTCATTTATTTGATGTTCACAAATATCTATAAGAAGGTACTATTATTTTACCCATTTTACAATCATAAGATCTTTAAAAAAAAAAAAAAAAACAACAACAACAACAACACTTGCCAACTCACCTAGCCTAAAGGAAGAGGATTCAGTTTCCAAAACTAGGCAATCTATCTCAGGCAGAAAGTAGATGATACAAATCTTGTGCTCTAGCTAGAGTAGACAATGTTGGAAAGTAAGAAGACAGCAAAACAGGGGGAAACCTTTCCAGGGGGATTTATGATGACTCTCCTTTAGAAAGATGTTTGCACATTCTGTAACAAAAGTCATTGTTCTAGTGTGATAGAGTCCACAGAAAGAAGTGGTGGTACATTGGATGCAGTGGCAGTTTGGGTGGAGGGACTGTTAGGAGAGATGAGAACATACTGCATACCTAGTCCCGTGACTAAGAGAAATGTTTTCCTTAGAAGAATACAGCACAGAGGTTTTATTATCAATGGTCTGATGTGGACTCCAGTGCATATTTCAAATGTCAGCGTTCAGGTGGATTTATCATTACTACACAGATAACACTAAACAGTGGATTTGCTATCTGGAGACTGTGACTATAGAGACTAATAGGCAAAGAAAATGCTCTATGACTTGTGCATAATTCAGAGGTAGGGAGACAAAATAGAAAATGGAAAGAAATGATTTTAAATGAAGAAATAAAAACAAAAGAGAGTAATTTGGGCGCGGTTAATAGGAGGCCAACACTCAAGGAAAGAGAATAAAATGTTCTCAGGCAGATAAAAATCAAGAAAATAATGGTTAAACCATGGTCAATATGGTTTTGAAAGTATAATTTCTGTAGGATAGGACAATAAAGGGGGCATGAAATAAAGAAATGTGGTTTTTTTTTCTCTTCTTGTTTTGAAATGAGGATGTACTGTGCAGTCTTTTACAAGACAAAAGGTAGGAATCTAGACTCTGGAAGAAGGAAGAAGTACAAAACTGACATTTGAGAGAAGAATGAGTTCCCAAAACCTATTAAATGATGGTTTACATTGTATCTCAACTACATGTCCATCAACTAAGGCAATATCAAAATCCCTTCAATGGTCAGGGTCTTTGGTACATCTGTTATTGAGCCTGATTTTTGTCTCATGTTTCTATATAACCATGTTGAATTGAGGATTTTAGTCACATTAAGATGCTGGAACATTTTCTTTGTTTAAATAAGACTGTTCTTTCCCCCCTTTAGTTTACAAAACGATTTTTTTTAAACAAGACTGGCATTTATATCTATTTAGCATATAGTAAGAGTCAAATGGCTGAATTATATACAAACACAGGAGCCAATTGTCTTACCCGTGCATTAGGGCACTTAGGATATTGCTGTTATTTTAGAAATGTGTACAATTTTTTGTACTGGCCAGTTTTTGTTTACCATGAAAACTCATTGAAAATTATTTTCTTTATTTAATTGACTAATAACAAAATGGTAAAGTTATTACCTGTACACTAGCACTATTAAAAAAAAAGAGTTAAAGTATTTAGTTGGACAATATTAGATAATCATCTTATATTGTTATTTATAAAATATAGGGTCGGAATTCTAGGATACCATCCCATTCTAAAAGATGACACCCTGACACTAGCCTTTGAATGGTCTAAGCTTGCTCAGAAATTTCCTTTCATATATAAAGTTTACTCTATTTCCTTGGGATGTTTTTTAGGGACTTCATGCTTTTTTAATGGATCAGAGTGGAAAGCTTTCTTACCAACTTTTTATACTGTGATTCCTAGTGGATTTGTGTTGAGTCAGCAGGCTTATGTAATCTTGCTAAATAGACTAAAAGCCAATGGCTCAAGCTGCCACAAATGTGCAAAGCACTTTGGAAAAAGGTCAAAGTTCTGCCACTACTTACAAAAGATAATTTATCACTCGATGTTGTTAATGTTACTTGATAAATGTTTAGTGACTATTGTGTAACGTAAGTAATTTTAAATACATTTTAATTCAATTTTCCTAGGATGTTACCATAGAACACCAAGGATAGAATTAAACTTTTCCTTTTATTTGCCTATTAAAACACTAATGTCTCAGTTATGTCATCTTTCAATTATACTATCCTTTTCTTCCTCCAATTCTTTAAAGAGTGATCCTTTAGTAGGTTGAAGTAAATGCTTTTCAGAGAAAGTAAATTGAAATAATAATTATCTCTATTTATTAAAAAATGACTAGGCTTTTAAATCAATAGACCACATTATAATAATATAAATTAATTTATATTTATATTAACTTCACATATATGCTTATAGTATTTCTACATATAACAAAATAGTTCATACATTTTTAGCATTTAAGATTTAAAAAATAAATTCCTGAAGTATTAGTTGTTAAAGAAGGTAGAATTTTTAAAAATTTAGTGACAATATCTGAGTATATGAAATAATTTAGAGCAAATTTTAAATTAATATAGCAGTAAAATTGGTAAAACATTAAAAATATTTGCATTGTAACTGCATTAATAAAATAACTTAAAAACAATATTTCAAGAAATAGCAGGTAAGCATATATAATTTTCTTTATCCAGCCCAATATAATGTGAACATAATTTAGTTTTCATACCAAATATTAAATATCTTACTTTAAGTTCCCACATAAATTCTTGGGAGCTAATTTCCTGATTTTAGAAATATTAATTTCAATCTGTTTCATTGAATTTTATTCTGGATTTTAATCGATAACTTGATAATCTGAGACTAAGGCCATTTTTTGACTCAGCATGCGCACATGCGCGTGTACACACACACACACAAACATACACACACACATAATACATATGAAAATGAGAACTATTTTTGAACTTGGGGAAATCACTTGTAACTGGTCCTAAGAGAACAAGTTGTGGTAGTGAGAGGGGAGAAAAATATTATTTTTTAGTTTCTGCTTTTTAAGGAAGTTTTTATTTCACTGAGGTGAGTATAAATATAAAAACAATTAAGTAGCAGAAAAAATAGTTTCATGGGATAGTACATGAGTTATTGCCAAATGACTTATTCAGATAGTAAATAATATAAGTGATTACCATTAAAACAGCCTGGGAATAAATTACATTAGCATTTCCCCTCTATGGAGTGGATGGAGTGGGTAGGATTTGTATAGTAATAATAGCTAACATGTTTATTGAATGCTTGCCATATCTAACTCTTTTTAAAATATATATATATTTTATTGATTTTTCACAGAGAGGAAGAGAGAGGGATAGAGAGTTAGAAACATCGATGAGAGAGAATCATCGATCAACTGCCTCTTGCACACCCCCCTACCGGGGATGTGCCCGCAACCAAGGTACATGCCTTTGACCGGAATCGAACCCAGGACCTTTCAGTCCGCAGGCAGACACTCTATCCACTGAGCCAAACCGGTCCCGGCTATATCTAACTCTTTTTAAGTGCTCATATTTATAACAAACTATAAAGATAAATATTTAATTAAGCTATGTTCAATTAATTTTGACTTTCAAAACTTCTAATTCATATGGCTTAACCTAATATTATTATCCCCATTTACGCATCAGAAACCTGAGGTACAAAATAATTTAATCTGCATGAGTTTAAATGATTAATAGATGACCAAGCTAATCTCACAGCATATTAGATTCATTTTAACAACTTCATTTTATGCTTTGAGGGAAGAAGCCACTGTACTTAGTCAGTAAGAGGGTAGGATAAGAGAATCTAACTCATAGATTACAATCTGCTGTACATGATTCTGCCTCTTAGTGTTTTATAATATTCTTGAGAAATGGATATACTTTCTACACCTGCACTGTCCATACTAAACACTTAAGAAGACATCAAGGTCATTTTAATAATTACATACACTAAAGTTGGCAGTCATGTAGATGAGTACTGTTTTTTCTGCAACAATAATAATCAAGCAAGCATGTGACTAGATAGAAGATATTACTATCACAAACATCTGCTTTCAAGTTAGTGAAACAGAATAGAAGTTTCAAAGTCAATGGCTTTCAAACTCAGCTGGAGACCATGCCACAAGCACCATCAGGTTGGAATCCAGCCATTGCTGGGGCTGGGTAGCCTGTACACTTAAAGTCAGAGACAGATACTCATCTGCACATCCACCAAGTCAGAGGATCTCACATTTTATTACTTTGGGCACATAAGGACCAGCTTTATACTTCAAATTTAGCCAAGCATTTGCAACATAGGCTAGATAGCCCAAATCCAATTTAAAATTCACAAAGGCATAAAATTGTTTGCTCTTTTTAAAGAACTTGTGACATAGTTATCTTGGTGATCAAAGGGTGTCTATACAATGTTCTAAAAAAATAATGTAGTGTTAGGATCAGAAGAAATGCATTCCTATTTTGACCACTTCAATATTTTTGACTCTGAACAAATCATGACGATATGGAAACTATACAAAATTGTAGTGAAAATACCTGATTTCTTTATTATCTGCCAACTAAATTGTCATATGTCATTGAACCAGATTTCTATTTTCTTCAGGATCCATGTCTACCTCTGAAAAAATTGGATAGATTTAGATGACCCTAAATTTAACACTTGGCAAATCAAAGCATTCATTTCAATATTTGCATTTAAAAAGAAAAATATCTTCAGATTAATCTTTAAGGCAAAGTGATGTATTGGCCTTTAGAAGAAAAGGCACATTAGGTCTTTCAAGATTAAATGCATATGCATTAGGGTGAGGGAGGTATTCTGTCCTACCAAGGATATCCCATCATATTCCCTTTTCAATTCCATAGGCAAGTATTGATTTTCTTTCATTAAGAACTAAACTAAAATAAGTGGCTTGAGAGGTACATGATAAATAACTGATACTGCATTAGTCCTTAAGATTCTTGAAGTGTGAGAGAAATGTGTACGAACATAGGTTTGTGTGTGTTTTCCTCTCGTAGGTCTCTTGAAATGGGTAGATTAATAGAGCACGCAGCTTCTATATAGATTTCAGCTTCGGCATCCTCATTATATATCTTTACATTTAAGAAAAGTAGCCATGATGCCTTATCTGCTTGTGCTTTTGTCTTAATATGAGGCATGTTAGTATAGGAAACTAACTGTCTGGGAGGGAATGGGAAGTTTTTCAAGGATAATTGGTTGTGAAAGTAGTGGGGCCCACCATCCCTTTAGCAGCTCCAATGTATCCAGTGTAAGTGCTTGCAACAGCAAGGATTTTGTAATGGCATTTTTGATTGGTGCCCTGTTCTTCCCCAAGGAATTGCCTTAGTCTCTTTTAAGCAATCAGTAAAGTCTCCCGAAGATATGAAACTCAGTTTCACTTTTACCAACTCAGTGCAGAGGTGACAGGAAACAGCACGGTGTAAAAGAGGACTAGTCTAAGGGTCAGGGCCTAGGATTCTCAGTGTGATTCTCCTACGATGGGCCTGGGTTATCCTTGGGCCAGCCTGGCTTCTCGGGGCCTCAGTGCTAGAAAATAGGATAACAATGGTCAGTGTCTTTTCTGAACATTCATCATTCTATGAACTGGCGCTTCCAGGTGAAGGAAAGGAATAGATCAGATCGTGTTCCTCTATTTCTGGGCCTCTTTAGGTTCGTGTTCTATGAAATAGTTTTCTTCCTCTTCCTTTAGCATCACCATGGGAAGTTGGAGCTTTCTATTGGGGCATTTTTAACAAGGTTCTTCACTGGAAATCCTGCCTGCCATGAAATCACCTTTGTTGGCACTAGTTACTGTAGTAGACGTCCAGCCCAGAGAGCAAAAGCCAAAGGAAACTGGGAGAGCGTCTAATGAGGTTAACCCTGAGGCGTTTGGTGGCTTTCCACTCAGTCCCAGGACTCCTAAAGAAAGGGACAGATTTCTAAGGTGGGGTTTTCTGGTCCTGCCATTGGCATTTTGTTTGTCCACTCCAGAGCATGTCGACAATGTTTAATGGATTCCACAAAAGAATACGAGGACAACTTCCTGATTTAATCCTTTTATTTAAAACTAGCGTCCTAATAATCATGAATTAGACTATTGTAATTTTGGGGAACATGTACTGTTGCGTTGTCGCAGATATATTGAGAGTTGGGGGAAGCCATATTGAGCATGATTTTGAAGTGAGGAGGTCAATTTTGTGTTTCTTGTTCGGGAGTATTTGTTTTCTTAATTTAATTAACCTTCAGTGGTCATCCCCTGAAGTCTCCAGCTTTTGAAGGAAATAAAATAACGTCTACGACCACTAGACTTTTCTCTCAATTTTTCTGCTTTTGCCTCATCGGCCCAATTCACTTATTGCAGAAGAAAAGTGAATGCCTCACCTGAGAGGAACCTTTTGGAGGAGCTTTAATACAATTTTGCTTAATAAATTGTGTTGTTCCTAACGGCTGCAATATTGCCAAAGGGTCACTGTCGAAGGCTTGCCAGTGATTGGCCTTAACATCAACAGACGTGTGTGCAGTGTTACACAGAGATCCTTTTTGTAAAAGGTTAACTAAAGTGGGTGCTACGATGGTTTGTTGAAACATTTCTGTTGCAACTGAGTGGCGAGATTGCAAAGGTCTCATGCACAAGGTACTTGCACCTGCTCTTTTCCTTGGCTAATTCAAGGTGAAAACACCCAGAAGTGCCCTTATTTACTACAAAGAAATAACCCACGCTTGTTTTGTATCTGTGTGTTTTTTGCAGGAAGTTGTCCTTGAAGAAGGTACAACTGCTTTTAAGAACTGGGTTAAAACAGGCACAGAAGTTTACAGACAGTTTTGGATCTTTGATGTGCTAAACCCAGAGGAAGTGATACTCAACAGCACAAATGTCAAGGTTAGGCAAGTCGGTCCTTATACATACAGGTGAGTCCCCTCTACTACGTGCCACTCTTTCCTTGAGCATATGTATTTCTGAAAAGGTTTCCATACGATAGATGCCATTGATTTGAAAGATACTTATATTATCTTGTCAATCGTAAACATTGAAATATTTTGTTTATGCCTGGATAGAATCCTGATATAAGGACTTGTTGATTATAAGAAATATCTATTTAGATTTAAGTTGACTAGCATCAATTAACTCCTACATTTAAGAAGTTGCAGGTGTTTTACACTTGTGGAATGTATTCTCCATGACTCTGAGATAAGTGTGATCTATAGAAAAAGCTATCTATCAGAATTTTTAAAACTAGACTATTTTTTAAAAATATATGTTGTTGATTTTTTACAGAGAGGAAGAGAGAGGGATAGAGAGTTAGAAACATCGATGAGAGAGAAACATCGATCAGCTGCCTCTTGCACACCCCCTACTGGGGATGTGTCTGCAACCAAGGTACATGCTCTTGAAGGGAATCAAACCTGGGGCCTTTCAGTCCGCAGGCGGATGCTCTATCCACTGAGCTAAACCGGTTTTGCCAAAACTAAACTATTTTAACATTTTAAGATTGAATGTGTAGAATATATCAGTGGTTCACAAAGTGTGGTCCCTGAGCTAGCAGCATCAGCATTGCACTGGGGACTTGGTAAAAATGCAAATTCTCAGACTCTACCTCACACTCAAAATATAATGAAATTCTGATGCTTGTGAAGGTAGTACCTGTTGCAATAGCACATGATGTGTAGAAGGCCATGGTGCCTGTTGTATCCTAGCAATTATTCCATGTCTCCTGTGTCTGTGCACATGTTTGTAACCATTTACAACTCTGTCCAAGATTTGATTTTCATTGTTACCAAAAAAAGCAAGCTTACTTTAGAAAGAATATTCATTTTTTTTCATTCTCTTATAGTTTTGTGTTATTATCAAAAGCCTATATGAGTATCTTGTTTCAAAAACTATTGCACATATGATGGGTACCTACGAAAATCTCGAAGTCACATGTGACCAAATGACTATCGAAGCATATTGTTAAAAAATCATAATCTGATTAATTGAAAGCATGTGAGGAAAGAGAATAGTTGTATTTGAAAATTTGTATTTTCTGTTTAAATTTTTGTTGGTGAGGACGTTATGTTTGTTTGTTTTTTACTTTATGGAGAATGTCAGGAAACATTAACATAATATTGAATCTAGTCCTAGCCCTACTCTGATAGGTGAAAAGTAATATATATATATTTCATTCTTAGAGGCGCTAACCTCTAAAAGACGAAAAAGAGTGGGTTAGATACACTCGATTCATTTGAATAGACAATGAGGGAGGGTTGGAGGAAACATGTTGGGTTTGCAGCTAATGTTCATAAGCAATAAATTTCTACTTACATTGTCAACAGTCAAACAATAAGAAACAGTCAAACCTGTGAAGAATTTTTGTGAGGGTTTTTGTTTTTTGTTTTTCGAGCCTAATTGTTGACCACACTGGGGAGCAAAATTTCAAAGGATTGAGATAATGCTCCAGAGAATGGCAGTTGTGCATCTTATATTATACATTACAATCAAAAGAGATGCTGCAAGTGGGTTACATGAAATCCATTGGTGATAAATTAGGTGGGGGGAGGGTGGAAGAAAGCACAGCGGGGAACCTCTGGGGTTGGATAAAAGTAAAATAATAGACACATACATCTTTTACATAGGTGGGTACAGGACAGTTAACAGTCAACAATTAACATGATAAAACAATGAGAGGATTTATGATCTTTGTTCTAGTGTACTGGTTGTGCCCTGTGAGGTCTGGGAAAGGGGAGTTACCCTGACATTCCAAAGGAATGTTATCAGATGCAAAAGACAATAGGCAGGCTTAGTTAAGGTAAAGATTGACCTTTGTCAGGGAAGATACCAGAGTAGGACGTGACTACCCACCATAAACTGCTTTTAGCTAAAGAAGGTTTAATTTCATACCCATCCTTTGTGGTTACTTTAGGTCTCTGAGTTTACAAGGATGCCATGCAGACCTTCCCTGAGCTAGACAGGTTAGCCTGTGGCTGCTTTTCATCCACACCATGTTAAAGGGATTTTTGATCATGTTGGAGTCATCTGTCTCACAAATTGAGTCAGTAGTGTCCGCCGGTATGCCTTAAATAATGGGAAACTACCTTTCAGAAAAAGTTAATAGCTTGAGGATCTTACATCATATGATGCTCTGAATCGGGTGAAACTGGAAGTGTAGGAGGGTATTCCGTCTCAAACAGAACCACAGGCTTATTTGGCTGATGGCTACTTAAGTGACTGCTTTTTTTTTTTTTTAATATATTTTATTGATTTTGTACAGAGAAGAGAGAGAGAGAGATAGTTAGAAACATCGACGAGAGAGAGTCATCGATCAGCTGCCTCTTGCACACCCCCTACTGGGGATGTGCCCGCAACCAAGGTACATGCCCTTGACCGGAATCGAACCCAGGACCCTTCAGTCCCCAAGCTGACGCTCTATCCATTGAGCCAAACCAGTCTCGGCTGCTTAAGTGACTTTGAATTTTTATTAATAGGGTATGGCAGGGTTCAAAGCATAAAATTTCTGGGATTGAGATCTTAATGGCATTTATTCCAACATTCACCGTCTCTATAGCTCGATAATATTTAGTAAATCCTTCAGAATATTCTTAAATCTCAAACATATAGAATGTTTGAGTTACTTTATTTTTGCAGGAATATAAAGCAAGCAGTTTGGGGAAATATATAAAGCAGATTACTCCCTTTGACATTCTTAACCATTTTCCAAAACCTGCTTACATCCTAATTTTTAAACCAAAAAAAATGAGTGATTATGTTCTTTTTAAAAGCTCATTATAGTAATAGGCCTCAATTTAAAGAATTTTTCTCAGTGAGTGCCATCTACTGGTATAATGTTGTAACTGCAATTTAAATAAGCTAGAATTGAGGTCACAATTTTATACCTATTATTTCAATTTTAAATGTGAATAATATGTAATATAATTTTAAATTTACATCAATGTAAGAGAAAATAGTAATAAACTGTCATGGGTGCTGATTTAGATTTGTATGTCTTTAAAACTTTGTATGTCTTTAGTACTCCAATAAGAATAAATAAAGCTTGGATTAAATGATATTACAAATAAAATATTTTTTCTAGGTGATTGAAAGTTCTCTTTTGAAATAATATGAGCCATTAATTTATTCATTCAAAAATATTTATGGAGAGCTCACCATGCACTAGAGCCTGAGCTGGAGGGACAAAACACTCATAATCCATACCCTATAGAAATTTACATTTTTATTATACCTGAGTGAAAAGTATTGCTTTTTACATTTCAATTCCATGTTTTTTCAATATTTACCTTAATTATCTATTCACCTTACATAAACATTAAAATATATTCTAGTGCAACAAACGATGTGTCCATTATTTCATCTCAGTGAATATCGTGTACTTGCCAAGATTTTTCTCCACGGTAATCACCCTTCAATACATCCCTAAAATGCAGTTGGTGCCATGAAACTAGATATGCTAGAGCCAATGAATACTGGTTTAATACTAGACAGGATTCAACATATGGAAAAGGGAGGAAAATTAGTCTGGAAAAAGTAAATTATATTCCATTAGTTATCTTTATTCTCATCGGAGCACTGAAAAATATGGAACAGCCAATGCTGGATAGATTATGTATTTTTGAGCATTCTTTCTAAGACAATGTGTTCTAAACATTCTCCTGCTTAAATCTTTCTCCCATCCCCTCCTTATTCTAAGGAGAAAGGCTAAACATTTGAGTGTGAGATATAAGCCTTTATGTTTGAGATCTTGGTTAGTTCTTCCCATTCTCCTTACTCTCTCACTTTATAATCCAACCAAATTCTACCATTTGCATTTCTTAAAATACCCCTGGTTCTTCGCACCTTCCATGTGCCACTTTCAAACCTGTTTTCTCTATTCAGACCACTTATGTGGAGTTGCTACAAAAAGTATCTTGATCCTTATCCCTACCATGACCTCCCCAAGCCTAGATCTGTATCTGTTCTGTTTTAACCATGAACTCTGTAACCCCTCCTGAAATAGCACACATTAGGATGTACAAATGTAAGACCCATTTCTCTAATTTGCTAGAGAACCAGCATCAGCTTATGACAATGGCTTAGCATAATTTCTGATACATTCTATATATTTAAAAAAATATATTTGTTGTATGAATGAATGGCATTTGAGACCTAACTTTCACTTGACACAATATTTTTTAATTTTATTTACTTCTGTATTTCAGAGTTCGTTATCTCGCCAAGGAAAACGTAACCCATGACTCTCTGAGCAACACAGTCTCCTTTGTACAGCCCAATGGTGCCATCTTTGAACCTTCCCTGTCAGTTGGAACAGAGAGTGACACTTTCACTGTTCTCAATCTGGCTGTTGCTGTGAGTACATAAACAAAATTATGTGTTTTGAAATGCTCTAGAATCTGCTATAATTAATCTCATGATTAGAACTCTCACTAGATACTATTTATTCTGCTCCTATGTCCTTATTTGAATAGAGTTTTGGTCATCAGGAAAGATGAAAAAAAATCAACTGAATTGGAAGACCACTGCAAGTGTATCAGTAGAAAAAAAATAGGACTTAATTTTGAAAGACTTCTTGTCGTTGAAACTGAGGCACTCAAATGTGCTTATCTAGGGATTAGAAAAAAATTATACTCCTAACTCTGGAAAGATTTGGCAGTAATTTTAGAAAAATAGTTTTTAGACATTTTTATTAAAATTAATTCATACTTAACCCATTTATTTGTTAAATATTTAATACTATAAATGGTGTCTTATGCAGTTTTGGGTTTCTTTGTAGGCTGTAGCCCATCTCTATCCAAATCCATTTGTTCAGGGGGTACTCAATTCAATTATCAAAAAGTCAAAGTCATCTCTGTTTCAAAGGAGAAGTGTGAAAGAAATATTGTGGGGCTATAAGGATCCATTCTTGAGTTTGGTACCATACCCAATTCCTACAACAGTTGGAGTGTTTTATCCTGTGAGTATCAAATATAAATGTTGATATTGTTATACTTTAATTGGATAAATAAAATGACATTGGAAATCTATAATTTTATAATTTAGTGCTTTAGTCCTATTTGTTATCTGGGAATATATATTCTAATTTTTCAAAATCTTTTATTTCACATGCTTCAGCTTTTCAAGTTTATAAAATTTACTTATATAAATTTAACAATTAAATTTTTAATTAAGAAGATATTTAATCAGGATTTCTTTTTTGTTAAATATACAATTTGTCCAAAGTTAAGTTATACACTGGTAAGGCTTTGAACACTATTTTCAGTTTTTACTTACCTTCTCAGAAAATCAAGTTTAATTTCAACATTTTAATTGTATTAAATGTACTAGTTCTATCATTTCTCCTTCTCTAGACCTCATACAAATTGTTTTAATGTAAATTTAAAGCCTAAATTTACACACATGTCACTGATAAATTAGCATTGTCTTATTTTAATAGAGTTTATTAATAAGAATTTCTAGTGCTCTATAAATGAAATAACAGTTTGAAAATTAAGGAAAATGTCAACTTAGTGATAGACTTAGCTATAGCTCAATGTTTTGAATTATAAATAAAACAAGCTGACCCTTGAATTGGAATTTTGACAATGATTTGACACTCTATGTGTTATTAGTTATATTCTCCAGTTCATTGTTGTTAATTTACTTTTAGAAAGTGTTCATGATTGCAACATTATCGATTAAGTATCAATGTAGACAGCCTAAGGGATCAGAGATTCAGTTATTGTTTTTTTAATCTTTATTGTTGAAAGTATTACATATGTCCTCTTTTCCTCCAATTGACCAATTATTATTACTATTATTCTCATATATTTTTATTGATTTCAGAGAGAGAGAGAGAGAGAGAGAGAGAGAGATAGAAACATTGATTGGCTGCCTCCAGCACTCCCCACACAGAATGTGCTTTGATTGGGAATTGAACCATGAGATCCTGGTTCAGAGGTCAACTCTCAACTACTGAGAGATGGCGCAAGGCCCAGTTATTATTTTTTAATTCAAATACTTGGGTAATTTTTTTAAATTATGTATACCTAGTTTTTTGTAACCACTTATTAAAGATCATAATATTTAGAATACCTCTAGAAATCTGTCATTGTTCTCATAGATTTTGTTTAAAAACCCCTCACCTCAATATAATAGGAATAGTAATCCAAACTGTCTTAGTGGCTTAATTATGAAAAAGAACACTAGAGTCTGGGTTATATCAACTTCTGATATGTTTTTTTTCCTTTGTCTCAGCAGCTAGCACTTATTTCTTGGAACCTTTTATATTCTATCTTTTTAGTGTATTAAAGAACAAAAATGTTAAAACTTCATGGCCTATAAATTTTAGATCACATAAAATAATTATGAATAACCAGTCTCTGAGAAATGCAAAAATGAGTTAATTGTATATTTTATAACTTGGAGAGTATGGGTTGTTCTAGAAATAATTTGTTCTTGGTACATGTATTTTCAGTACAACAATACTGTAGATGGAGTTTATAGAGTCTTCAATGGAAAAGACGATGTAAGCAAAGTTGCCATAATTGACACTTATAAAGAGAAAAGGTAAGTATTCAGGTAAAGTGTGTGTGTGTGTGTGTGTGTGTGTGTGTGTTACCAGGCTACTCTAAAGCAGGTGTTGCATAGACACTCACCTCTGCAACAGACCTGCCTGTATCTCAGCTCTGAGAATTCCTCTTCTACAAGGCATGAACCCTTCATTTATGAAAGCTGGTTATACTAAGGCCTCACTGCTGGAAGCAGCCCCAGGTTCTCTTAAATGGAGAAATCCAAAGGGACTGTTTTCATTTCTGCTGTGTCACCAGCATTACAGTGCCCCATCCAATTAGATAACCACAAAAGGAAAAGAAAGAAAATCAATGCACCAACTGATCATCTAGGAGATACACAAATCTGTTTTACTGGCTTTTTAAACTTGTTTATGGAGCATATCAGATAAAAATATTCATTCCATTGACATGACCTAGTGTGTCTATAAAGACGAAAGCTTAATGAATCCATGCTAACACTTCCATGGCTTTCCTTCAAAAACTTCTTGAAATAATTTCTACATATGATAGCTCAGCTTTTTAAAAATTCTTATCAATTAAAATATAAAATGTTTTTATATTTTAAGTAGTTTGTTATATTTCAAGTAGCTTTAAATTTTGGGTATTCAACTTGGAAATAAAGAGCATGTTTCTTTGGAAGTAGTAATAGAATGTGATATGTTCATATTGACAGCCATGATTTTCTTCCTTTTCCTAGCTCTTGCCTATTCATCTGAAGTATAGGGAATTTATCATATGAGTAAAATAGGAAGAGCCCTAATACATTTCAGGGTAGAAAACCTTTTCTTCTCCTCAATGTTAATAAATATGCTTTAGGCCACATGCTTTCCGAAAAAACATCAAAGTATTCAAAATAGAAAGAGCCCTGACCAGATGGCTATTTGATTGGAGTATCCTCCCACACACCAAAAGGTGGTGGGTTCGATTGTTTGTCAGGACAAACACCCAGATTAGGGTTCCATCCCTGGTCAAGGAACATGCAAAGGAGCAGCAGATCAATGTTTCTCTCACCTCTCTTTCTCCCTCTCTCTCTCTCTCTCTCTCTCTCTCTCTCTCTCTCTCTCTCTCTTTCTCTCTATCTCTCTCTCTCTCCATCCTTCCCTCCTTTTCTCTTTCCATCCCTCCCTCCCTCTCTCTCTCCATCCCTCCCTCCCTCTCTCTCTCCTTTTCATCTCTCTCTCAAAATATTGAAGAGATAAATGTTTTTATTTTATTTATTTATTTTAAAATATATTTTATTGATTTTTTCCAGAGAGGAAGAGAGAGGGGTAGAGAGTTAGAAACATTGATGAGAGAGAATCACCGATCAGCTGTCTCTTGCACACCCTCCACTGGGGATGTGCCCGCAACCAAGGTACATGCCCTTGACCAGAATCGAACCTGGGAGCTTTCAGTTTGCAGGCTGTCGCTCCATCCACTGAGCCAAACCGGTTTTGGCTAAAATGTTTTTATTAATATAAGTAACCATTTGCTCGCACCTGAGTCCCTATGGAAGAATTGACAACAGTTGAGTATTCACTATTGCGGTACTTTTTCTTCTACAGAGTCCATAGTTACATGTTTTTATAGAGAAGTTTAGTGGAGGAAAACAAACACTTCTAAATGATCATTTAAGGGGAAATCACATAATGGTTTATATATCGAAGAACATGAACATTTCCTCCATTTCAGTATTACAGAGAGATTTTCACGGGAGTTGCTAAGTGCTCTAGTTAGGGTAGGAAGATTATAATAAGGTTGATGTAACTGATCATGGCAACACTGAGCATGATTAACAGCTTATTCTGTTTTTTAAAAAAAGTATCAACATGCATTGATATCTCACTGGATGATATATTAAGAATAAGAAAAAGTTTTTCTATAACTAAAAAGTGGCTGAGGATACAGAGAAACTATTAACATTATATTTGTGTGTGTGTGTGTGTGTGTGTGTGTCTTATCTAAACAGGAGAGCATAAATTAATAAACTCAGCCCTACTTTAATGCCAGATCATGCAAAAACTAAAAGGGGGGTTATAAATTGGTTAACTACATGTTTCCAATCTCTATTAATCAAAAATCTGCTTCTCTTTCTTTCCTCCCCCCATTACCCTCTTCTCTCATGCTGAGCTCATATCAGTTACCCACTGAATATTTTTCTTCTATTCAGTTTGAGTACTCAACATACTACCAAATAATTTATTTCTCCCATTGGCAAAATAAAGTAAAATAAAATAAATATAAATATAAATAAAAAATAAAAAAATCCCTACACAGGGATCTAAATTTCTGGTCAACTTTTCTCAATTTCCTTTTTTTTCAGACTGGTATCTATTCCAAATTGTTTCTATGTAAGCAGTTTTATTTTGTAATCTGGTTACTTAATGATATCAGGCACACAATTTATTTCAACAAGATGAAAGCTTCAAAGAAAATATGGACTGAATGCGTTACAACATTTCTTGAATTTAGCATTTGTCATGTCGAATCTTTATTACAGTGGTATTGCATCATAATAGACAAACTAACATAAGTAAGGTGCTCTTGAGAATACTTGTTCATTTTCTTTCTTTTTATTTCTAAGGACTCTCGGCTATTGGCCAAGTTATTGTGACATGGTCAATGGTACAGGTAAGAGCATTTTTCTTGGCAATAATCACAATGAACCCACCTCCCTCTCTCTTACAAATCCACCACCATACCTAGAGGATTCTGAAGGAAAGAGTATATGTTTACTTTTCTTTATAACCCCTGAACATAATTCAGAGTCTCCACTCTTTTATAGGTTTAGTAAATATCTGCTTAAGGTGATAGGATTTCTAAAGACTAAGCATCAAGAATTGGCCTTTATTGAATTACTAGGGACATGTTTGCTTTGTAAAAGCTTTACTTAATGAACTGCCTTCCTGACAATAGAAGTAATGGATTAAAAAAATGTAGAGAAGGAGCTACTATTCTCATCGTTTGTAAATACTGTACAAATAATAATTTAAAATTGAAAAAAAATATCAAGGTAATTTACAGAAGGTGAATCATGGTTCCAAGTAAGGTTTCTAGCTGAGATAGGATCGATCAATAGAGTTGCAAGACAGAGCTGTCTATTTGAATAAGGTGGTCAGAATGAGAGAGAAAAATAACAACAATAAACAAGCTTAGGTGTCTACTAACCATGAAAAATGTATGCAAAGATGAACATTCTGAATAAGATTTGGAAAAAACACAGGACTATGAACTTACAGTATGGTTAGAACTGGCTGATTGTACTCCTTGAGGAAAAACAAAGTACACGCATGCCTATTCATTTAAGAATTAGGATTTTAAAGAGCAATGCGAATCAAACATTGTGAGTAACTAAAACAGAGGTGAGCTTTCAACAACTAAGAAGTAGAGGCAGAAGAATGATGTTCACAAAGTTGGTGAGGCAATACCCTGTAGGAAAACGGTATAATAAAGACAAAGAACTTTAGGTACAAAATTATGCAAAAAAAATAGGAAATAAAGAGGAATACCAAAGTGTTATTGAGTTTGGCATTTTAATTTAATTTTATTATCACTCCCTTATAGAACAAACACGGGTTTGATTAGTAGTGCTTTGAGCCTTGAAGGTGGATGCAAGGAAGAAAGAAAAAAAAAAAAATTCCTTCCTAAGTAAAGCATGTCTGCAAATCAGTTGTAAAGTGTGCCAATACCACTAACTCTCATAATTGCACAGGCATAATATTTCCATCCTTAGATGCAGAGTGAAAGGCACTGTGCTGTTCTGAAGCACTGACGGGTTCTTTCTGGTCTAGAAAAAAAAGTGTTAAACATTTCTGTCCAAAGGCAAGAAGTAGAGAAGTTTTAAAAGAGGAGCTAGGATATTGTCATTCAATAATGACAATAGTATAAATAAGTAAGAAACTGGCATGAAATTATAAATAAAAAAATAATTTAAAAAAAAAACAGAAATAAAACAAATTAGGAGCAGAGGTAGATTGGACAGAGTAGGGGACTCTGCTATGTGTGATCCCTATAAGACAGATTATTGGTCAAGAAACAGAAAAAATTGCAATGTGTTTTCATCACAACTTAAAAAAGCTTCCTCTACCTTCTTCATGAAGTTGGAAGATATATGAAAATATTAATATACATTTGAATGCTTTTTTTAACACCATGCTCATATCAGCTATCTAATTGTTGGTATGATTATGATGCAATCTTCAGTGATATTTCAGATAATAATTTTTAAATATTTTCAATGTTTTTTTTTTTCTTTTATGGTTAAGACATTGATAAGACAGTTGTAGGTAATGACCATTCAGTGACCTGTTTGGGGAGTTTAAGCTAATCTGTAATATTTCAGTTCTCTTAATGGCAGGATCAAGTTCATTGTGATCTGTTACATTTTACTTGTCATAAAAGTATAAATGAAAGGTAATAAGATTTCATGGTTAAAAACTTATCAGAAAAATAGCCTAGAATTCATAATTGAAGGATGATTCTTATCATTATAAACAAAAACATTCAGTGATTGCTCAGTTTGGTGATATTCTATTAAGGAGCAAATAGAGGAATTATCTCATTATTTCTTCATATATCCAAAGTGTGACATACATCATAACCACAGCAGAAATTCAATAAACTAAAAAAAAAAAATGCTCTTTTTAGTTTGATGGGTGTGTTTTCAAACAATTTGCAAGAAATTCTTAGTGTGAGAACTTAAAAAAAATGATTTCAATAATATTAGTCAGCCATTAGAGCAGATAAATGAATCACTATCAAAAGTTCAATGCAAACTGAAAAGAAATCCTAAATCAATTCCATGGTTAAAAAAAAAAAAAAAAAAGTGCCACTCTACTACATGTTTAAATGACAATATTTTGGGTATATTGGGTTAAATAAAACATACATATTTTGTTTTACTTTTAAAATTGTGGCTGCTAGAGAATTTTAAAATTACAGTACAATTTATATTACTATTTCTATTGACCATGCTGGAATGGAGATCTCTATATTCTTTTAGGGCACATATTACATCTAATCACTTGCCACTGGCTTACTTTTTAAACAGATGCAGCCTCATTTCCTCCTTTTGTTGAAAAGACCCGGGTACTGCAATTCTTCTCCTCTGACATTTGCAGGTAAGACAAAGTACTGATGCATTTCTGCGAGTCAGAAAAGTTTCCCCATATAACAAAATACCGGCCAAGAAGCTCACACAAAATGTTATTTTGAGAAAAATAAAGTACAAGTAGTGAAACTTTGCTTCACTTTTTAAGAATAAATGTAAAATGGCAGTCATAATGTGTTTACTAATGCTTTTTTTTTAAAAAAAAGTAAAGGGTGTAGAAAGCTATTTTACATAATATACATCATTATCTTCTTGTTAGTTCTAAGCAAGAACTCTTTCTTCTACTATCCTTGCATTATATTTAATAATAGTCAAGTCTAGCCCTCTATGCCCATTTTTTTTCTAAGATGTCCAGAGAAGGTGATGCCGCTGTCACCGAACTGTGTTAATTAATGTGTCCTACTTCCACTATCACATCTTTTCCAATTGAGGAGGCCGAGTAGATACCAACGGCATTGGAACCCACACCAACATGATTGAATCCTAACCCTGTCTCCAAAGGTTATGTGGTTGTGAGCAAGTGTTTAAGGTCTCTGAATCTTTTCTTTATCTGTAAAATTGAAGAGAGCAGTGTTTCTTTCTTTAGAGTTACGGAAGAAATATTGATTGAGCCCTAGCACATTACCAAGATTATGGTGGACATTTGGTAAATGGTGGAGGTATAGGATATTTTATATTAAGCACACATGCACACACAACAGGTAAGTGGTCTTTCTCTTCATGACTGTTTTTAAAAGACATATTTTATTTTAATTTTTTTGAAGTGGGCACAAAAATATTTGAGTCAGTCATATAAATATTTAATCTATGAAGGAAATAAACTGAAAAAAATTATATTTAGTATCACTACACCATGGTACTTCACAAGTAAAAAATTATTCTTAGAAGATTTTGAAAATAAAGGTAAGGATAGCTCAAACCATTTGCAAGAAATTGAGTTCTGACTAAGGTATATTGAGTTCTGGTATGACTTAAAAATTCACAAGGACTTTGTTTTTTCCTAAAAATTAGTAAGAATTCTGATAAGACTGTTAGGTTTTTCCAAGTTAAAGCAAGCATATAAAACTAAGAAAAATAATTAATCTCCTGAATATAGTTCAGATCCCTGAAATGAAGCTCTTTCTTCTCTGTGTTTAGGTCCATCTATGCTGTGTTTGGAGCCGAACTTGATCTGAAAGGAATTTCTGTGTTAAGATTTATTCTTCCATCCAAGGCCTTTGCATCTCCAATTCAAAATCCTGATAACCATTGTTTCTGCACAGACCCAGAGATCTCAAATAATTGTACATTTTTTGGTGTGCTAGACATTAGCAAGTGCAAAGAAGGTGAGTAAATATTTACAGTATTACAGTTCAGGATGTAATTTGCAGTATTCTTTAAAATATAACATTTACCCAAGATCCCCTTGACCAAAAATTTAAAGTGAGAAAACAATAAGTAAGGGTGATGTAGGAAATTTTTGTTTTGATTTTATATTGTGTTCAAGGTCCTAATTATGTTTCAGTGCTACAAAATTTGGTTATTAGATAATAAAATCATTATTGTTACTTAAGGAAAATGTCTAGGCACTTTTCCATTTATTATTATTATTACTAGAGGCCCAGTGCATGAAATTCAGCCTGCACCCTCTCCAATCTGGGACCCCTTGAGGGATGTCCAACTGCCTGTTTAGGTCCGATCCCTAAACTGACAGTTGGACATCCCTCTCACAATCCAGAACTGCTGGCTCCCAACTGCTTGCCTGTTCTGCCTTCCTGATTGCCCTTAACCACTTCTGCCTGCCAGCCTGATCACCCCCTAACCACTCTCCTGCCAGCCTGACTGATGCCTAACTGCATTCCTGCCAGCCTGATTGTCTCTGACTGCCCTCCCCTGTAGGCCTGGTCACCCCTAACTGCCCTCTCCTGTAGTCCTGGTCCCCCATAACTGCCCTCCCCTACAGGCCTGGTCACCCCCAACTGCCCTCCCTTTCAGGCCTGGGTCCCCCGCTCCAACTGTCCTTCCCTGCAGGCCTGGTCGCCTGCAACTTCCCTCATTTGCTGGCCTGGTCATCCCTAACCGCCCTCCCCTGCAGGCTTGTTTGCCCCCAACTGCTCTCTCTTGCAGTCCTGCTCCCTCCCAACTGTGCCCTCCTCTGCTGGCCTGATTGCCCATAACTGCCCTCCCTAGCAGGCCTGGTCACCCCACCTGCCCTTCCCTGCTAGCCATCTCATGGCAGCCATCTTGTGTCCACATGGAGGCAGCCATCTTGTATGTTGGAGTAACAGTCAATTTGCATGTTACTCTTTTATTAGATAGGATTATTGTTATTATTATTATTATTATTATTCTATTCCTTGTCTTTTTGGGTTGTATGGGTTCCTTATATATTTTGGATCTTTGGCATATTAACTACTTATTAGATATCTAGTCTGCAAATATTTCTCCCATTCCATTGATAGCCTTATTATTGTTGTTGTTGTTGTTTTTATTATTCCTTTGCCATATAGAATCCTTGTGCTCCTTTTTAATTTAGGGTAAAAGGAAAATAATTCTCAAAATACTATGAACATTTCAACTTATCCACTGGTCATTTTTTCTTTCTTTGAAAATAGTAAATAAAAATAAGTATATTTTCAGTATGTCTCTGAAACAAAGGCTGACTTACACACAATGTGTGGTCTGTCTTGGTTTGTTCATGTTCTTTATATTGGAGTGGTGAGAATAAAGAAAGAAAACCTCTTACTTAATTCTTGGTTCATAGATATATCACTACCTTAAAAAAAACCATATATTGTTAAAATTGTGTTCAGCAGCTAAACCTTACATATTAAAAATTAATACCTATGGCATAAACAACAGAATCAGCTGACTGGTTAGTAGAATAATGGAGAATTTTGTTATTTTATTTGTACAGTAGCAATCAGGTGTTATAATTCTCCCTCACCTTCATCCCCCCAAATTAGTGTTCAAACCCAGCTATGCATTTTTTAAATTTTATTTTCAAAGAATCTTTTTTTAGTGTTATGTGAAATATTTACCCCCAATTATCTTCTTAAAACTTGTTTTCAGGAAAACCTGTGATCATTTCACTTCCTCATTTCCTACACGCCACTCCTGAAATTAGAGAAACTATTGAAGGTTTACATCCAAATGAAGAAGAACACAGCACATACTTAGATGTTGAACCTGTAAGCAAACATACTATTGATCCGCCTTGTTTAATATTGTGGGGGGTTTTAATTAACTGAAAGAAAAAAAATAAATTATCTCCTTGTCAATTACATTTATTGATCATATTTATTGATAAATGACTTATTTTGATGAAAATTACATTGATTTTTTTCTATTATTTTATGAAATATCAGGTAAAAAGTAAATATTAATTTTACTTTTTAATAATATGGAACTTTTTAAGCATTTTTAATGGATCATGGGTCAGGAATACTAGTGATGGGAATGATTCTAATCATTGCTTATATGAAGAAGCCCTTTATATTATATTATGAGGTTTAAAAGGGGATTTTATAGGTATATGTGAATTGGGGGTTAGATTTATTATATTTAGTGTCACAAAAAATCTATAAAAATCCTATAAGCACAAGTTTTGATTATTTTACTGTTCTACTTTTCAAAAATTTAATGGAATGCCAGAATTTTAATAGCAATTTTTATTTTATTTCAATGATAGTATGATTAAACTGATGATATATGGATTTTGACAGAATATATATTTGACCTTGCATAGTTTAGAAACTATATAAACTATATATGCTTTTATGTTTTAGTACTGTTATGTTATTGTTGATTCCCCAAAACCATTTATGGTAAACATCACAAATCTAGCTAAAACCTTCACATTAGAGTAGGCAAAGAAATTATATGTCTGTATACACGTATATGCATGTGTGCTTGCAAGTATGTGCATGCACATAGATATCTGCATATGCACATAATGCAATTATGGGTAGTTATGTAGGAAATATTTAATATGTCCAATTATTTATTAATAACTATACAAGTTTCAAATAGAAAATATTAACCTTAAATTCTATATAACATTACAAATTAATGTTGGCTATTATAAAAGAATGTGTGGTGGGCATTTTCTCTGTTTTCTGCATCCCGCATGGAAAAACGACAGGTTCCTGAGTGGAGGAGCTGGAGATTAAGAAATTAGAGAAAGAGATAAGAGGCAGAAATAGATTCCTTAAACTGGGTGCTAGGTGGGCACCACCTCTCTGACGGAGAGGCAGTCACACCCACCACAGACAACACAGCACATTTATTGATTTCCAAAGGGGAAGTTTAAGGTCAAAAGGAGTTTCGGGTGTGTCCAGGTCCTATTCATCAAGACCTGTGTAAGTTCCTCATTTTTTGGTATAAGGAGATCTATCATATTAAGACCTGGGTAAATCAAGGTCCTATTTGTTCCTCATTCCAAGCACATGGATAAAGATAAGAAATCTGTACTGATAATATGACTCTGCCAGTGCCCTTGGGCTCAGCTGATTAGAATTAAAAGAATGTTAAAAATAATTTTAGTTTGTTCTCTTTTTTAGATAACTGGGTTCACTTTACAATTTGCAAAACGGCTGCAAGTCAACATATTGGTCAAACAATCAAAGAAAATTGAGTGAGTACCTTGACCAAGTTTATCTTTACATGATTTTTAGTAATTTTTTTTTATAAGAATGTGAGTAAATCTATGAAAGTAACTGGAAATAATATAAAACTTAACTTTTTTTTTGGCTTGGCTATATTAAATTATTATCAAATGCTTATAACTTTGATTTGTAATTAAGAAGTATATCAGGTGTTCAATGAAGTCAATCTATACTAATAAAAGGGTAATATGCTAATTAGACTGAGTCTACTGAACTTTTTCTAGATATCTGACTTCTGGACAAAGCCACAGTGGGGAGGGCTGAGGCAGAGGTGGTTAAAGGCGATCAGGCTGGCAGGGGAGCAAATAGTTAGGGGCAATCAGGCCAGCCAAGGAGAAAGCAGTTTGGAGAAAGATCAGGCCAATGCAGGGGAGCAAGCAGTTAAGGGGCGATCAGACTGGCAGGAGAGGGCAGTTAGGAGGTAATCAGGCTGGCAGGGGAGGACATTTTGGGGTGATCAGACCAGCAGGGAGCAGTTAGGTGGCGATCAAGCCAGCAGCACAGTAGTTAGGGTGCACTCAGGCAGGCAGGCAGGAGAGTGGTTAGGAGCCAGCAGCCCCAGATTGCAAGAAGGATGTCTGGCTGCTTGTTTAGGCTTGATCCCACAGGGACACATCTGGCATCTGGACATCCGCAAGGAGTCCCAGATTGGAGAGGGTGCAGGCTGGGCTGAGGGACACTGCCCCCTTCCTGTGCATGAATTTTGTGCACCAGGCCTCTAGTTTATATATAGTTCGTAATGTTTTAAAATATTAGGTGGCATCTCACATTTTGCTTACTCTCCAAATATTTCCATAACAATAATTTCTAAAATTCATATTTTACTTTCCTGTGTAGAATTAGTTTAAAGAGAAAATCTGTGTTTAGAAACAGTCAATCAACTATAAATTTGCTATGAAGGCTTTTAGAATAGAAAATATCTGAGAAACAGCCATATTAAAATCTAAGTGAACAAAAATCAAGGAATTTAACCAAGTTGCAAGAGTAACTAATTTTTGAATATTTATTGATACTGGTAATTACTAAAATTTCTATCATATATGCATAATATATTTTCATAATTTTAAATTACAGCGTTTTAAAGCGTCTGAAAAGGAACTACATTGTGCCTATTCTTTGGCTTAATGAGGTTAGTATTTTTATCTATTAGTATTAAAAGCAGTAAACTTCTTTGTATATAAAAATACTTTTGACATTTGAAAATTGAATATAACTTTAATGTATATTGGAGGTTGTATGTGTTTTCATTATCCCTATAGATGAGTTTACATAATATTAATTATAGCTATTTGAGAGAACCAAACCACATAGAAATATCAAATTTATCTTAGTTTTCTGTGCACTTTTTATCATTTTAGATTATTTTCAAAATGCATCTGCTATACATTTTTTCTCATCATATGTTTGCGTTAGAATTGTTCACACATCTAACTTCAAATAATTCAAGGCTCACTGAATATTATAGTTAATAAAAGCCAACCAAGCTTACAAGCCAGGTTAAAGCAATTGTAAATGGTCTATCCTGACAAGATATTTTTTGTGTAAACCATGGAATTGATTAGTCACAGAATAAGGAAATGCATCAAGACTTTACAGGGAATTAAATAGTTGACCCTTGCCATTTTCCTATGTCATTAGGAAAAATACTTTGGAAAATTGTGAAAGACTTCAGTAAGACAGTTTTTAAGATCAATGAAACTAGCATATTGAAGAGTGCCAGACAACATGTGTAAAGAAAAGTGGGTTATATATTTCACTCTGTATTTTACCCTTGGCATGTATTGTCTCCTTGAACATGCAAAGGGAATTTCATTGGCTTGTCTTACAGAAATAGATGACTAATACCTATAGATATGTTGTTGGGGGGAAAGAGTGATATGTAAGTGGAGGATTTTAAGTATTTTTCTCTAATGATCTACGCAAATAATGTTAATTATTAACTTGATTACAGACTGGTACCATTGGAGATGAGAAGGCAGAAATGTTCAAAAACCAAGTGACTGCAAAAATAAAACTCCTTAGCCTGGTAGAGATGGTCTTGCTTGGTGTTGGCGTGGTGCTGTTTGTTGGGTTTATGATTTCATACTGTGCGTGCAGATCAATGAAAACAAAATAAGTAAGTCTATGCAAAATACAAATATATGTATGCTACTTTAGAAACATTAATTTATATGTTTTTTGGGTTGGTTTTTTTTTTGCCTTTTATCAAAGATGTTTTATAAAGTATTTTGTAACTCTTTCTGGACATGTCTAGCCAATTATTGTTTTTCAATACATTCTTGAACTTTGGAGATACTTAATGTAAATGGAAATACAAATGAAGACTGAGTAAATAAGGCTCATAACTATCCAGCAGGCTCATAATTATCCCATTCTGAGAGGAATGGGATAAGAGATAATTTTCACCTTTAAAAAGTTAGTACATATTTATATTGCTTTTTTTTTTTTTGCAGAATTCTAACTTCATTTATTGATTATTTCTAGTTTGTATTTTTAAAATTAAAAATAATTTAACATATTGATTAGGAAAGGTATTGTAAAATTGAAAATGGTAGATATTTGGAGAGACTGAAATTTATAAGGGAAAAGAAAAGAAAAAGAGAAATTAAATAACCTAGGAATTAAAAAGACACTAAAAACTTGATAATAAATGGTCGAGATAAAATATGCCTTTAAAATAAGTACTACATTAAAATGAAATTTAAAATGAAGATAACATTACTATAAATACCGATTGTTTCATAGACATGCTGGCCATACATTGTCTAATATCAGGATGTGTTCCCCAAATGATTAATATGGAAGTAGGATTAACAATTAAAATTCATGAGCTAAAATTGGAATATGACAGTAAAAGAGAATAGGAGAAAGTAGTGTTCAACACAGTAAAACCAATTTACTCAGGGTTTAGAGAGAATATCATGTAAATGTGGACATTTGCGTGTTAGCAGATCTCCAGAGATGGTCAGGCCTCTGATTTAGTTATTAGTTAGTGTCTGTGTCCCCCTGCCCATAAATAGGAATGAGTGCCCCATCCTACCTTCCCTAAGTGGAAGCCTTTCTGTAATCATTATAGGTGCCACTGGTGTAGACTTTGGGGGACAAGGGGGGATTTTTCACTTCATCCATAATTCGCATTAGCCTTTCCTTCTCAGGTGCATTAAAAAACAAAACAAAACAAAACAAAATAAAATAAAAAATAAAAGCAATACACTTGCTTTAAAATCACAACTTTAAAACAAGTTTTCTTATTTTTCTTCCAAAGAGGCTGAACAATTATGGCTACAATCTATTTGGATAGGATGTACTCAAAGTGACAATATAATATATTCATATTATGATAAGTAAGGGAAATATTGCCTCACTTATAAAGCCATTAGTCCAATAACAAACATGCTATGATTAAACTAAGACATTCATATAACCATTTATATAAAAGAGATAAAAATAACCCATTGAAAAACAAACAAATAAAACAAAACAAAAACTTGTTCTGGTGGGAAAGCATGTTTTCAAAAGGAAGCATAGTAGTTCAGCGTTTTTTTTTTTATTTTATTTTAGCAAGTATTTTCTCTTAAAATTATATAATGAAATTTATCACTACTCCATGAGCCCTGAATGTCACATCCCTTGGATCTCTGCGTGGCTAAATTAGGCTAAAGGATTGAAAACTTTCTAGAGCATCTCTGCCAACAAATGTATTCGTTTTCTTTACCTTTAACAGTTACAAGGAAACATGGCTGGTATTTATAAAACTACACGCCTTTCTTTTACAAGTAGAGAAAAAAATGTCTTTGTAGTTTATTGGATTTATTAGATTTAGAAGAATCACAGAGATGTAGATTTCCTCAAAGAAGCCTCAGTTTTCAGTATAAAATTACGGCCTTGGTGAGATTTGTAAGCAATTGGAAAAACAGAAGATAGATGTACAAAAAGGAAATAAAATATAAGATGGTGGAGCTAAAGTGTGGCTTTATTTAATGGATCACAAAGAGCACAAGCAAATAGTCCCTTCAAAAGGAATAGTATAGTAGAGACACCTCCGAATGGGAGATGGCCTGAAGGGAGAGCTAAAAGTAGAAATGCTTGCCCAGAGCAGATTCATTGGTGAACAATCCTAACCTGGCTACATGCAGGTCTGGAGCTTTGGGAAGCTTATCATTCTTGATGGGAATATGCATTGTCTTACTATATGGTCCACCAGAGAGCTTTTCTCTGCCCCTTGACAAATTATGGTGAATAACAAAAAGCAGGGTATGTTGGATATGTAAATTTGAGTATTATCTGTTTATTTTTTTCCCACTGCTTCCTGATAAACAGTAACATTTCTTCTGCTTTCTAGACAGCAAGTGAATTTTTACATTAATGTACCAGTAACATCGGGACCTCTGTGAATATTGACCTACAAATGAAGACTTAATATGCTTTTTTTTTTTTTTTCAAAACATATCTAATCTTATAGTTGATGAAATGGTGACACTATTCACTTTGCAGTAAGCGGCAATACAATCCCAACAATTATTAAGATGTCATTAAAATCCATAATCTGAACAAGAAACCAGCATCCTTTAAAATTCATCTTGTGCACAGTTTCTACAGACCAGGTTCTAACATGGACAAATTATTTGTATGTGGTGCTGATGCACTCATTGATTCCCTGGTGACAAATCCAACAGAGGAAGTGGACATTCTAAACAAATTCTGGACCCTGAACTCTTACGTTTCTCTTCAAGGGAAGACAGCATCATTGTCGGCGGTGTCCCTGTGCATTTGTAACAGACCCCAGGACTGTCAGTACATTACATTTCATGAGCATCGTTATTTTGAAAGACATTTAAGAATGGAAAATAAATGATTAGCTTGTGCATTTATTTATTATATATTGCCTAAATCTCCTTCTCTATGGGATTCTTTGCATAGCAACAGCAGGCATTATACTTACGGTCTTACTTTGTAACAGTATAAGCTTCTATTTTTAACACTGATTATGCAGACGGGAGTCATTGGTAGCACGTTTTGGCTCTCCGTGTTAAGGTCTTTGTAATTTTCCACATTCTGCAGCTCTTCTGGAAATCTGAGTTGATTTTGATCTTTCTACTCAGTTACATACAACTTATACTTCATGACTTCAGAACATTGTCCTAGTATGAACATATGTGAGAATAAAGGAATTAATGTATGAACAATGATGAAGAAGAGAATGCATTCATAGTTATTTGTTGTAATATTTTTTGCTTTCATTGTCAGCCCTGATTTCAACCATTAAAAGACGTTCTTACTTAAACTCCTAAACTTTGCCTCGTTCCTCTTGTGACATAAAACATTTACCCTGATTTTCTGTTTAAAGTATTTTCTTTGAATCTATATTTCTTTATGAATCCATATTTCCTTCTGAAATAGTCTTCCTAATTCAATACTGACACTTTGTCCTAGCCTAATTTTTTGAGTCAGTTGGAAGAAAAGCAAATATAAAACACTCATTTGTATCAAATACACACATGATCATTGCTTTTTTCTTCTGTGGCGTTTTTAAGTATTCGTGAAATACCTTGTTTTATTGAGCTTCACAGATGGTGCTATTTAATATATATAAATTGAAGGCAAGACCCCTCTGCCAGCAAAAAGATTACAACTCTCTTTTATTGTAGCACTTGCTTTATCACTTTATTACAGTGATCTGGAACTGAACTCCCAATATCTCTGAGGCGTGCCTGTAAATACTTTTGTTATTAGAAAAATAATTTTTCTTTTTCTTTTTAACTTTTGATTATAGAAATGGTGTTTAATATTGCTACTATAAGCAGCTGTAATTGTCTATTCATGGACTGTTTACATATTACTCCTATTTTCCTTTGCCAACCATTCTCAGATACTAGTAAGCATATGTCTACACATTTTAATAAGCTTCCAAAATGCTCCATTCAACACACTGATGAAGGGAAACTGTGACAAAGCTAGGAAAAAAATAGATTTTAAAATAGTTCTTTAATTGTGCTACAGCTGAGCCAACAGCCTCAGCATCACCTGCAGACTTGTTAAACATGCATGCCCACTGAATCAGAATCTGCAGTTTAACAGGATCCCCCAGAGATTTATGACTGATCATTTAAAAATAATGGTCCTGTAAGTTTGTGAAGACTCTATCTCTATTGGCTACTACTGTAATAATTTTTCCCACTCTCCTTTCCCAGGCCACCCTATCCCTGCCACCAGCTCACCTGTAGCAGTTTTCATAGATGTGTAAGAAGAAACAGCAATAAGAGTAGTGTACCCAACTAAATGGACGGGTGGATCACTTGATTCTAAAATTTTTCCTGCAAATAATTTCTTGCTGAATGTGTTATCTTGCTGGACTATTTATGTTTGCTGTGTTACTTCGAAACGAGAGGCCTGATTCATGAAATTCCTACTAGGGGCTCGGCCCTCACAGCCCTGGCTGTCTCGGCCCTCATGGCCTGGCCCCAGCCCACTGGTCATTCTGGAAGATCATTCCAGTCTAATTAGCATATTAGCTTTTTATTATACAGGATATTCAGCTCTGGTTCTGGTTTAAAATGAACCAGAACTCACCTTCTACCACAAACACACCAGATCTATAACTACATATGGAACAACTTTCTCTGACCACAAACAAACTATAAACTAGCTTACCAACTGCTACACATTGGGCAAACAAACAAAAACACACATTGAAGAGGGTAGGAGAGACTGATACCCAATCTTGCCATAAATCCCTCCCGTGGCATGGCAACACACATTCAAAAGGGGACTCAAAACTTGGAGCCTCTCCCTGAGAAATGAAAGGTTTGAACTCTGTATCAGACACCCCAACTTTTAACATCTGTACCTGAAAGATGCACTCCCAAAACATTTAGTTTTAAAAGCCAGTGGGTCTCATATCCATATGACTTACAGGACTATAGCAAACTGAGAAACAACTTTTAAAAGGCTTGCACACTCAGACTTACCTAACTGAGGACCCAGTTTAGAGGCAGCCAATCAAGAGGGGTCCAGACTTGGTGTGAAAGAAGCTCATTTGTTAATCTTAAAGTGGTGGCCTCAGCGGCAGGCATCTAACTGAACGCACATTAGGGACCTGCTGGGATGCTCTCCGAG